TGATCATTACTTAGAGATTGGAAATAGGCCCCCGCGTCGCCGCCCACGCTGGGCGACTTGGTGGCGACTCACCTAGCGCCGCCACCCACCTCTCCCATCCCTCTCCCGCCGCGCTGCCGTCGGAGCAGGCCACCAGCAGGGCCGCGCCACCTACCGGGATGGCGGTGGCAGGGCTCCCTCTGGTGGTGGCAGCGAAAGGGGTGGCGTGGGCACTCCGTCCTCTCCCCCGTCTCCCCCTCCCTCCCTGACAGAGCAACAGCGGCGGCGGGTGGAGGAGCCTGCACGGTCGGCAACGCGTGGAGGAGCTAGATCCGACGCTCGGATAGCCTGATCCGGCGTTAGCGCGGCGACATGGCCGGGGGCGAGCGGTGGCCAGGGAGGCAGCCACAGCTAGTGCACTGGGCGACGGTGACTAGCCAGCCCGACCTCGTGGTTGGATCCGGTGGTGGAGGTTGGCGCAAGAGGGTGACGACGGGCCTCTTCTCCTCTGCTCGTCCTTCCTCCCGGCTATGGCGACGGCGGCGGCAGACCAAGGCGCCGGGTCTAGTGCCCGGGTGGCCAGATCCGGTGTCCAGACGGTCGGATCCGGTGCCCAGTGGCTAGATCTAGCGCGCCATTGAAGGGGACGGCGGCGGCGGCACGGTGATGAGGTGGCAGCGCGGTGGTATGGCGGGAGCATGACGGCGCGGTGTGCAGCAGCGACACGGAGGCACGGGAGCCACGCCTGGATTCAGCGGCCACGGGATGCTCGTGGCGGGTGCATGAGCTGGTGACGACAATGGCGTGCGGCTGGTCACGCGGGCAGGCGACTTGCAAGGTGGTAGTCATGGGACAACGGCTGGCACAGTGGACAGACCATAGCCTTCGATGTGCACGGGATTGAGGCGCCATGGCAAAAGCTTTGTCCCTCTCAGGCCGATGATGGCGACGTCTACGGACGTCATTTTCTTCCTTGGAAGCATCTATCGAACGATCCTCTCCCGACGTGTTCTTCTTGGGTGAAAACCTTGACCTACTGGCCAGGCGACGGTGGCGTTGGTGGCGTCACACCCTCCTTGGAGGCATCATTTTTTGGAAGTTCGTGATCGGTCAGTCTGCGGCGGCGGCATGCTTCGTGGTGATGAAGGTGGAGGCCTAGTTGGGGATTCAAGTTTGCGGTGTCCATGGTAGAGGAAGGCAGTCAGGAGGAGGGTGTTGGCGCGGCGATGGGGGCATCACATTTGCTTGCCAATGGAGGGCGATGGTTTCGTGGGACCGTTTCGCCACGAAGTTGGTGAGGAGGTTGGCGTGGGAGGCACCCATGGAGTTGGCGATGTGGCCAACGTGGGAGGTGATGGCTAGTAGATTTGCGTTGCTGCACAGCGGCGGCTGTTTTCGGCGCAAGGAGGCATTCTGACTTGCAGCTGGAGGACGTGTGTGGCACTTCTTACTTCGATGAGGCAGCTAGGTCCGGATGCTACAGTGTGCGAGCTTGGATCTCGGTGGATGAGATCGGCTTGGTGAGCGCTAGAGGCTAGTTGCTCACGCGTTTGATTTGGCAGCTTGCTGCGGGCTACGACGGCTAGCCCTGCTTGGTGGTGGCTAGTCCGGTGTGGAACATCGTCTTGACAGGCGGTATAAGTGGATCCGAGTTGCGGGAGGACTACATGGTTTGTAGCGACCTACGGTGGCTAGTCCTGCTTGGTAGCAGGCTAGCCTGGTGTGGATCATCGTCGGTGACGATGGTGTTTTCGGCCTAACGTCCTTAATCGTCGGGTTTTGGCGGCGCAGTGTGGTGGTTGGAGTGGTTGGTGGTTCTGTTTTTTCTTCTTTTTTTCTGAGTTGAGCCTCGGCGTTGTGCAGTTCGTGTCGATAGTCCAATCCGACCGACTAGAGTTTTTTTTTCGTTGTGCCCACTTTAGGATCATCTTTTTAACTGCCTGATTCGTTTCAAAAATCATTACTTAGATATGATTACTTAGAGACTGGTCACTGTAGCATAAAAGAGAGAGCACAGAACCTAAGTCTGAGCCTTTAGTGAAATGGTGCTACGTACATGCTTGCCTGATGGTTATTGAGATGCTGCTGCTCTCTCCTGCCACTTCTACACTTCTACTCGGCGACATGAAAAAAAAAACACGTGGCGAGATGCAAACGGACTGATGACTTGCTGAGCTCTTTGGGCTGCTGCTGCGTTGCATACCTGAGAGTTGGAGCCGAGCAGCTGCTGATACCGCTGTACCTACAACACCGTCAGAGAAACAAAGAGTGTAGACAAGAAAACAAGCAGCTGAAGTGAAAATTCAGGTTGAAGGCACAGCTGCAGAAAGATGAAACTAAGCAGCAGTTTCTCAAGTTCTGAACTGAAGCCTGAATAGCAGGTGCATTTCAGATAGTGCACAGGACTCAGGAGCGATTGGAACAGCTGTACTCTATCAAATTGAGCCAACTCAAATCTGATGGACAAGTAATCTGAAGCCTGAAATCGCATCATCATGGAAAAGAAATCGCAACCAGATCCATCCAAAAATACCAAAGATCTCTTACGAATTTCTGAATCCAAGAAACCTAAGAAAGTGGGAAACTTGGGGAAATCAAAATTTCGTGGTGCTCAAGTGAAAGATTTGTTAGGGGATCACCTTAGCCTTGATAACACTTGTCCTAGCACCAAAATTTCTCAAGTAATCTGCCCCAAAACGCAGCAAACCTGACGAACGAAAATTCTCTAAAAATAGCTCCGAAAAATCACATAAAAAGAAAATTTTCAGATTCGGAGAGGAGATTGAGCGGAGAACGAAAATGATCTTTGGATTACTTACGAGGTCCGATTATAAGTCACTCCTTGCAAATCAAAGCTATGGATGAAATAAAGCTTAAAAACAAGAGTCCCTCCTCCCTCTAACCCTAGCCTTCTCTCACGGACATACAAAAGTGAGAGAGACCCTCCAAAAATGGTTGTCCAACCACCCCTTCACATATATATAGGCACCCGTGAAATATCCAGAACGCCCTTGTATGAAGTACTTAGCCCAAATATCCCCAAGTGTTAATTCGTTCGAGTTTTTCTTCAACGATCCAATGGACCTGGCGTCTTCTCAACTTCGCTTCGCCTCTACTTGCTTCGAGATGCCACTACGTGTTCGGCGATCCGCCACTCTCCGGTTTTGAGGCTCAAACTAGTCAAATCCGCCTCCGATGGTTTTGAGGCCCAAACCACCAAACCGTCCACGGTTGGTTTTGAGTCCCAAACCAGCAAACCGTCCATTCTAGGTTTTGAGGACCAAATCGGCAAACCCTCGTGCACTCCTTGCTAGACATGACTAACCAATGTCGACGCATGTTCGACCTCCACCAAGCTTTTGAAGCCTTTGCCTTTTTTCTTGACTTGACCGACGCCATCTACATCACCCATGTAGTTGTGTGTCTGACATCCGCCAAGTGCCACGACGCTATCGTCCTCTCCATGACTTAGTCGACGTCGTCTTCATCACCCATGTACTCTTGCTCTTCATGTGCCTAATGGGAGTGACACTCGGTTCTTGAGCAAGCTCCTCCACTGCGGGTAGGTTGCTCATAGATGAAGAAAAGAGACTTTAGGCACATGGTCCATTCTCTGTCCTCTAGTCCCTCGGTCCAAGCCATCTCGTTTGTTCTTCACCGCCCCCGGTCCATCGTGCATGGACTCTGCCACTTGGCCTTTATCATTGCCGTCAACCGCCTTGGTGCACCCCACACTTGCACATTCACAAGTCAGGAGACATGTTTCACAATGCACTCAATACAACTCAACACGATATCTCCGGTTAGCCATTAGCATAATTCAGCACATATAAAAATATGACTCAACCAAAAATGACTCAAACCTCCCACACTTGTGTCAATCATTCATCACACACACATGGACACATCGATCTCCACTATTTTTTTTGCGAGACCTAGTTACAGACGCAGACGTTCACACACACGAGCGCACACTCACCCATATGAACGCATGCATGCACACCCTACCTCTATGAGCACCTCCAAAGAACTGAGTTGGACCGGCAAATCCCGAGATGGACGAAGTCATCACAGGCGCCTCGCTGCTAACGGGCACATTGCCTACCACCACTAAAAGAATAGCGTCGTTAAATCCTGGAACAAATTCAGGAAATTGCGAGCACCTGTGTTAAGTCGGAGTCTTGAATCCGGGTGGTAGATTCCACCACAAGGAACCCAACCAGCTGAGCTACGCTCAGTTCGCACATCCCCACTATGTTTTGTTCACACTAGTGCCGGTTTTATACATAGTTAGCCAATTGACAAGGAGAAATTTGAGGGCGTTAAAAAATCAATTCATTCAAAGGAACAAACAGCACATGAATTGAGCTGAACTTGTCTAAATCCTAAATGTAAAGAAAACATAAAACATATAATAGTTCTCAACAATATTCAGTCCATGCATCTAGACACGCAATTTTCAAAAACATTGCATTCACTCATGCAGGCATATTATATATTGGATCGTGAATGAAACAACAAAACATGCTACACTTCATATGTCGCAAAGGCAAGGGCGTTGGCATCACGCTGCTCCGTGCGAAGCCAGCGAACGCGTCGCCGGGGACCCGCCCACCTCTTCCCTGTGGACGACGATGGTGGAGGCATCGTGGTGAAGGCACGGAGGACGCCACGAGTCGGCAGCTGAGCACGGACAGCGTAATCGCGGTGGATGGAGCAGGGTCCGTGTCCTGGATGGGGTTGGGGATGGCGTTTGAGATGTGAGGGCGGCTGAGCAGCTGCGGTGACACAAGTAGGGGCAAACCGCAGGAGCGCGCGGGAGAGATGCGGGACGTGGATGCGAGGGGCGGCCGGACCGAGTAGGACGAAAACTTTTCACTAGTCCAAGTTTTGTGGATCCAATCTATATACGACACATCCAACCTTCCAACCTATATATTGTCAGATGCATGCCGACCATCTCGTTTATAACCTTAGAAGAGGCCGAGATAGGCGTTTGGCAGCTTAGGGCACCAAAGCAGATGGCGTCTACTACCCAGTCGACACCAAAGGCGATAGCAGGGTACTACCACACCGTCGACCCTAATTATGGATCCCGGCAAGAAGGTAGCAATCACGTCTTCATCCCATCGCAATCGACGACCAGGGGCAACAACCAATTTCCCCTCGATTTTCTTCCCGGCGGTACTGACGGTGGCTGGGAGATCGCAGACAGCCGCGGCAGCCACCTACTCCTCTACCGTGGCGTCAAGTTCCCCAACATCTTCAACGCCAAGGCTGCCGCAAAACCAGGGCTCGTCGTGCGCGAGCCGATGACACGGCAATACATGGAAGTCCCCTGCCGGTCGGAAGACCTGAAAGGCCGCCACAAGTGCCTTGGCTTGTTCCTGCTCGATGGCGATAAAACCAGACGGTTTTGCGGCGGCGGCGGCGGCATTAACTTGTCCAACTTGAAAGTCATGGGCGCCCTGCTCCGGCCGCACTCCTACAGTTCCGGCCGTGGCGTGCCAGTGGCCTGAGTGTTCTCCACGGAGAGCGAGGTGAAGGGCGAGTGGAGTAGAGCAGCGTCTTCTCCGTATTCTCCGTGGGGAGCGAGGTGACGAAGGGCGCGTGGAGGAGTTGCGTCTTCTCCGTAGGAAGCGACTGGCACGTCGTGAAGAGGGCCTGGGGCATCGAGGAGATCAATGTTCCCAACACGGTCGAGTCCTTCTACTTCGCCGGCCGCGCTTGTGGCTCCCTCTATTGGGGCATCGAAGGCACCGGCGCCGCGGCGCTCGTTCTCGATGAGGCCACCGCGGGTTCTCGATGGTCACGCTGCCGGAGGCCACACTCGGATCGCACGGAAGATGCAGCTTCCGGGTCATCGGCGGCGGCCAGGAGGACGGCGTGCTGCGCATTGTCCTCGTGATTGACAACGACCTCAAGGTCTTCGCTCGGATCAATGGCAGTGACGACAAGTGGATGGTGGAGCGTCTCGTGCGGCTGCGGGAGACCACCCGCGGGCTGCCTGCCCGTGAGGATGGCTATTTCCAGGGCGAGGCTGTTATTGTCGACGCGCACGACACGTACGTGCTCTTGACACCACGGGAGAAGGCGTGGCTCTTCTCCGTCGTGCTCGAGACTATGGAGGTCGACCGATGGGAGCTGCCACTGCCAGTGCACAAGCTATGGTCACCAATCTCCCAACTCTTCTCTTGCATTGAGAGCTAGCAGCCATGTCCGAAATAAAAACGAGGGAGTTGCCGTGGCCTGTACCTCAGGTTGCTGCAATTGCTTAAATAGTTGATTTGGCTCTCCCTGTTAACTGATTTTTTTTTCATGCACTTACACCACTACCGGAGACCGGCTCTTTGCCGAGTGCGAGGTGGTTTGCCGAGTGTTGTTTTTCGGGCACTCGGCAAAGCGGCCTTTGCCGAGTGTTTTTTTTTGACACTCGGCAAAGAGCATCTTTGCCAAGTGGTTTTTTTACACTCGGCAAAGAAAATTTCAAAGCATATTTTGAAGCAGTAAATTAATTCAAATGAAAAAGTTTTCAACTACAAAGTTGTATAACTCATCAAGATGTACAATGTTTGTTTTGGTCTTTTCTTTATATGACAAAGTGAAAATAAATTTGTTCACAAATCTAACATATCTCTTGGTAGTTTATGAAACTACAAGAGAGATATATAAGATTCGTGAACAATGTTAGAACGATCATGTCGGATGAACAGATGATCAAACAACCAAAATAAACTTTGTAGATCTCGAAAAGTTATGAAACTTTGTAATTGACAACTTTTTGATTTGAAATCATCTTGTCATGTAAAAATGCGTTTGAATTTCAAAATTTTAAAATTCAAATTTTGTAAACGACCTCGGATGGGAAAACTTCCTAAACTAAAAGTGTAGATCTCGAAAAGTTATGAAACTTTGTAGTTTACAACTTTTTTATTTGAATTCGTTTAGAGCCTCAAACATGCAATTTACACTTGACAAAAAAAACTTCTTTGCCTAGTGTATTTTTTTTTACACTCGGCAAAGAGCCTCTTTGTCGAGTGTTATTTTTTTACACTCGGCAAAAACAAATTCAAAGCATATTTTGAAGTAGTAAATTAATTTAAATGAAAAAGTTTTTAACTACAAAGTTGTATAACTCATCAAGATGTACAATGTTTGTTTTGGTCTTTTCTTCATACGACAAAGTGAAAATAAATTTGTTCATAAATCTAACATATCTCTCTTGTAGTTTATGAAACTACAAGAGAGATATATAAGATTTGTGAACAATGTTAGAACGACCATGTCGGATGAACAGATGACCAAACAACCAAAATAAACTTTGTAGATCTCGAAAAGTTATGAAACTTTATAATTGGCAACTTTTTTATTTGAAAATATCTTGTCATGCAAAACTGCATTTGAATTTCAAAATTTTAAAATTCGAACTTTTCAAACAACCTCGGATGAAAAAACAACCAAAATAAACTCTATAGATCTCGAAAAGTTATGAAACATTGTAGTTGACAACTTTTTGATTTGAAAACATCTTGTCATGCAAAACTGCGTTTGAATTTTAAAATTCAAATTTTGTAAACGACCTCGGATGGAAAAACTTCCTAAACTAAAAGTGTAGATCTCGAAAAGTTATGAAACTTTGTAGTTTACAACTTTTTTATTTGAATTCGTTTAGGGCCTCAAATATGCAATTTACACTAGGTTTAGTATAATATATTGGGAACTAAAACGGAATACAGACACAAGTGAGAGTGTGGTGTAGTAGTAGAGGAGGTACGTGCAAGGTCTCGGGTTCGAATCGCGTCGGCCGCGTAGCCATGAAATTCACGCGAAAAATGTCGGAGATGGGTGGGCGCTGGCCGGTGGGGGCCTCCATCGATAAAAAAAAAATTCCATTTTTTTTGGTAAAAATTCCCATTTTTTTGGGTTTTTTTCGGTTTCAACTTTGCCGAGTGCCCGACAAAAGACACTCGACAAAGACGCCTTTGCCGACGGTTTATTTGCCGAGTGCAGCACTCGGCAAAGCCTTTGCCGAGTGCAAATTGGGCTTCCCGTAGTGCACTATCATCTAGCTATATTTACACTATTCTATTACTATATTTACACTTATTTCTTCGGTGTAATATATAGGACAGAGTGGTGTAATTTGAGCATAACCTAAGATCTCAGACAAATATAAGCCAATTTTTTAAAAAAAAATTATAAATTTTTTCTATGGATTCTAGATACCAGAGAAATATATGCCAAATTATTCACAAATATCGTTAAATTGTTCACAAATATATAAATTTACAAATAGAAGAACGGAGAGAGAGCAAAGAAGAACATACACTCGAGAGCACATCTCGTCTTCCAGCAGCAGAAAAGGGATAGAAAGCAGAGGACAGTGGCACACCGGGACGGCGGCGCCCGCACTGGGGGACACCAGCTGGCTGGGGGGGCGACCGCGGGGACGCTCCACTCCACCGAGGCAAAGCGCGGCGGCGGCCTACCACCGAGGGGACGCCCACGTCAGGCGGCGGCGGCACTGTGGCGGCGGCAAAAGGAGCAACAAAGGAGCGTGCGCCGCTTGAAAGAGAGAAGCGGCCTTGGGGTGGTGGCAGAGGAGCGGCGAAGGAGCCCAAGTAGATGCCGACATGTGTAAGATCCAACAGCCAGAATTCGGTTGAGGGATGGACCAAAATTACTCGGTTGAGAGTTAGCAATTCTGATAAATAAAATATTTAGAAAACCCCGCTTGGGCCATCAAGATATACTTTGAGTGTATGTCTATCGAAGGTGTCAAATTAAGGGTAGAATAGATAGATTGATTTTTCCTTACTCAAAAAGTTTTTTTCACCGTCAGGTCAAGTGAAGTTTGGTCCTCCTTTTTATCGTGGTTTTGTTTGATTTAAGTAACTGTGTTTATTAGCCAATGTTATTTAATTTAATAAAAAAATTTAAGGCTCGTGTTTAACTCTTGATGATGGAAGTTATGTGTTTTAATTGCGTATGAGAATTTTAGAGGAGTGACAGACATGTGCATGCCGGGTCATGCCGATTACTGGCATGTGCGCGTAATGTGGTTTTGCACCATCTTTGATTGATGGTTGGTTTGATAGCCATTGATAACGATATAGTAACGGATAAATTAATTATGTCAGCACTAGTCATGGATACCATTATTATGTCCAGGTTTATTTCTGCTCATCTCTCATAGTGCTTATATGAGAGAGGCATCTCTCATATATTGGCACGCGAACACAACCTTTAGCACCCGGTTGTGTTGATGTGCTTTGCTTTGCCTGCTCGGTCCTGGAAATCCGTTTGAGTTTGTGTTCTGGCAGCTGGGAACATAAGTTTTAGGTAAGCGTACTCGTACGCGACCGCTTGCTTGGGATGCTCCAGTATATACGATCGACTACTTCGTGGTGCTTGAAGCAAATCGACTACTTCCCGGTAGATGTTCATGGAACTGCAAAGCATATATCTTGCTGCACCAATTGTTGTTCACGAAGGTTCTTTTCTGCGATAGTTCAACAAAGTTTGGTCCTCCTTTTGTGATCGGTTTGTTTGATTATTAATGGGGTCTTATTAGCCAATTTAGATAGATTAATCCGTTCAAGATCAGCATTGTTGGAATGAAAAGCCTGAAAGACACAGAAAACAGCAGGCGAAACGATGGACCAGGAGAGTTTGTAAAACGAAGGCCCAAAACCATCGGGGCCTGGGCTGGACGATCGAATGACCCATCCAGGAAGTCAAGAGGACGTGTAGTAGTGGGGTAAATTGAATTTAAACTGAAACACCACACGGGTTCGCGCGCCGCCCCCAGGAGACCCGTGAAGAAGGTGTGAAGCACATTTGCTTTCTGGTCATTGTTAGTAACTTCAGATATTGTTCTTACGAAGGCATTGACTGGCACATGCATGGAAGAATCTAGTATTTTCATCTCCTTCGATGGAAGCGCGGATTTTGCTTCGTTCACTACTACAATAATCATTTGTAGGGGTGGCTAAAGATCGTTTGGAGAGGCGGCTCAACCAGCCGCCCCTACCATACCGTCTCTACAAATCATGCATTTGTAGGTGTGGTTCCCTGACCGCTCTTACAAATCGATTTGTTGGGGCGGCTGATAACACCAGCCGCCTCTACAAATCGATTTGGGGGCGGTTATAGTACCAACCGCCCCTACAGTACATTTTTCCGCAAAAAAAAAAATTAAATTTACAATTCAAATTCGACCAGAACATATATTTTTTCATGCACAACTCCATCATGACTTATCTTCTTCTGCGATTGTACTGAAACTCAAATCTCTGCAACATGAGTATTGGTCCAACTACAATGAACATATTACTTAATGCTGACTTGTTAGATGAGGAACTCTACAACATGAGTATTTGTCCGTCGGACCATAAAATGCTATCATGCTGCCTAAATAGCTAAAGATGTTAACAGCTAAACAACAATGCAAAGAATCATATGCCAAGTCCCCATACTCGCATATTGCAAGAGTCTTCGTAACAACAAGATCGTAGTTGTCCAGGTAGGGCACAAAAACAATGTCCCCAAAAAATTCAGCTTCCTTCTTCAGCTCCACATTCACTTCCTTTCTGCCATGCTAGAGTTAAGAAACACCTTTAGCACAAGCACACAAAACAAATGAAGTAAGCTAGCATTTGGGATTACATTGAAGTGTTTATCAGTGCAACGAAAAAACGAGCCACCCTGTTTGGTGACTTGAGGACAGCAGACATCCATGTCTTCCTCACACCCATACGCTCAGCAAAATGATTGGCTGATTACAGGATGCCAATGAAAATCTCAACTGACTCATTAGGCCTGTAGCATCCTCCAGCACAAACCCCTGCAAGGGCCACAACAAACATAAATTAACTAGACAAGTACAGGCCAAGTACCATACCGATAATCTCAACTGTCCCCAACCACTAATTATTTGAACTAACTGCAATAGATAGTGCACGGCAATTAACAAGCATTCCCCAACATTTCTTACTGCTTGAAGTGGGGAAACATATGCACTTACAGTGCGGTAAGGAAACGAAGTGAAATTACAATAGGCATCAGATCCTATGATAAACAGACCATTGAGTTGTGCATTCTCAGCTGTCCCAGAGGTCAGAGATTACCTCTATTATCTAAAAATAGGTCACTCTTGGTCATGACAGGAGCCAAATTATCTTTGGTAGGTGTAACACCCTGAAAATTTT